AAAATGTAAAGCATGCAAATAGCAACTATCTTAACAAGTTCAAGAAGGTTTGATGGTTTGATATTGGAGTTTGAATGCATTAAAAGGGTTTGAGCTAGTTTGACCAAATATCAATGTGTTGACTTAGTAAACTTGAATTGAATTAAGTTGGCCAAATATTAAGAAAAATTAAGGTCATGATTTGAAATTAGTTTGAGATTTAAAATGGGTTGAATTGATTAGGAGTATTGAAATGATTCATATAGGCTAACTTTGATCGACCATGATCTTTGTTAACTTAATCAACTATTGATTGGATCAAGGGTCCAATCAAAGCCAAATCATTTAGGAATTTGCTCAAGGAGTTTTTAATGATGTTTGAATACATCAAAAGTTTGTTTCAAGGGTAGAAATAGCTTAAGGATTGATCTTGTCAACCAAGGTTAACTGAGTCAAATAGGTTGACCTATGGGATGAGTTTAGGTTGGATAGGTTTGATTTGATATTTGAAACTTGCTAGAAGTGATTCCAAACAATTTGAAGATTGTTTGGTTTGAAATTGATGTTTGAGCCCCTAAGGGGTATTTTGGTCAAAAAAGGTTGAACTGGTCGACCAGGCTTGACTAGGGTTAGGGCTTAAGCCCATTGCATTCCTAGTGATGATTAGGATGCAATGGAAGATGTTTTGGGGTTTGATTTGAAAAGGTGATTTTGAAGTCTAAGAAAAACTCAAAAATTCCCCTGAAAGGGGTATTTTGGTCATTTTGACCCCTAGTCAACTAGGGGTCAAAATGGGTCCACGAAAATACAGTTTACTGCTCAATAAGTCAGGATCAAAGGTTTGAAAGTGATTGGAGGCTTTGTAAAAAGCTTCAAGGTCAAAATCCACTGGGTGGCAGGTCCAATGGCATAGGCTGTAAATATTTAAAGATTTTATAGTCTTTAGATTTTGATTTAGTTTCTGGGGTTAGAGACCTCAAAATGGGCTCAAATAGACTCTTAATCAAAAGTCATTTGACTGGGTTTTGAAGTGTTTAAAAAATCCTTGGAAAAGGCTTTAGGAGAAACCCTTTGAACCTTGAATTTCTGGGTTTGAATTGGGTTTTGAGTTTGAATGAGTGGATTTGAATTATCCATAACATCTATAAACATTTGATAGGATTATGAAAGATAGGATATGATTAAAGTTTGATAGAAGCACATTCAAGGTTCGAACTAGATTTGGGATCATGATGGGTTTAAAGTCTTGATAGATTTGAAGTCTAGATTTGATTTGAAAATTGAATTGATTGAAGTCTAAATTAGTTTATGATTTGAATTGATAAGAGATCTGGATTGATTTGAATTTAGATTATTCCTAGAGTCTGGAGGGATTCTAAGATCTAGAATCTAGATGGTTTTAGGATCTGGATAAATCTTAAAGTTTGGAATATAGAATGATCTTAGGGTCTAAGAAAATCCTAGGGTCTGGGGTCTTGAAGAATCCTAGGGTCTAGAATAAAACCTAAGGTTTGAAGTCTAGAAGGTTACGAGGTCCTAGAATAGATCCTAAGGTCTGGATCTAGGATAATCATAGAGTTTAGCTTGATTTGGAAGAATTGTAGGGTCTAAAGTGGATTCTAGGGTCTGGATTTATTTGGAATTTGGAGGGTCTTAGTGACCTCATACAAAAATGAGGTAAATAAATGGGCCCCCAATATATGTACTAGAATGAAGTTCTAGTACATATTGGCATTGACCAAATGACAATTTTGAATGGAATTTTTGAAGTCTAAGGAAGGACATCACCCATCCTTATGTTTATAGGATATTGATGGAAGACTTTATACCTAATAGATAGATTTATTAGGAAACCAAGGTAGGCATCACCTATCCTTCGGTCTAAGGAAGGGCATCATCCAACCTTAGGTCTATAGGATGCTGATAGAAGACTTACTTCTAATAGATAAAATTAATTGAAAAACCAAGATAGGCATCACCTAACCTTGGGTCTAAGGAAGAGCATCAACCAACCTTAGGTCTATATGATTCTGATAGAAGACTTACTCCTAATAGTCAAAATTAAATGGGAAACTAATGTAGGTATCACCTAACCATGGGTCTAAGGAAGGGCATCACCCAACCTTAGGTATATAGGATGCTGATAGAAAACTTACTCCTAATAGACAAAATCAACTTGGAAACTAAGGTAGGCATTACCTAACCATGGGTCTAAGGAAGGACATCACCCAAACTTGGGTCTATAGGATGCTGATAGAAGATGTACTCCTAATAGACAAAATCAAATGGAAAACTAAGGTAGGTATCACCTAACCTTGGGTTTAAAGAAGGGAAGCACCCAACCTTAGGTCTATAGGATGCAGATAGAAGACTTACTCCTAATAGACAAAATCAACTGGGAAACCAAGGTAGGCATCACCTAACCTTGTGTCTAAGAAAGGGCATCACCCAACCTTAGGTCTATAGGATACTGATAGAAGACTTACTCCTAATAGATAAAATCAAATTGGAAACCAAGGTAGGCATCCCCTAACCTAAGGTCTAAAAAAGGGCATCACCCAACCTTAGGTCTATAGGATGTTGATAGAATACTTACTCCTAATGGAAAAAATCAACTAGGAAACCAAGGTAGGAATCACCTAACCTTGGGTCTAAGGAAGGGCATCACGTAACCTTAGGTCTATAGGATGTTTATAGAAGACTTACTCCTAGTAGATAAAATCAATTAGGAAACCAAAGTAGGCATCACCTAACCTTGGGTCTAATGAAGGGCATCACCTAACCTTAGGTCTATAGGATGTTGATAGAAGACTTATTCCTAATAGATAAAATCAATTAAGAAACTAAAGAAGGCATTCCTAATCTTGGGTCCAAGGAAGGGCATCACCCAACCTTAGGTCTACGGGATGCTACTAGAAGACTTACTCCTAATAAACAAAATCAATAGGGAAACCAAGGTAGACATCACCTAGCCTTTGGTCTAAGGAAGGGCATCACATAATCTTAGGTCTACAAGATGCTGATAGAAGACTTACTCCTAGTAGACAAATTCAACTAAGAAATCAAGGTAGGCATCACCTAACCTTGGGTCTAAGAAAGGGCATCACCCAAACTTAGGGCTATAGGATGCTGATAGAAGACTTACTCTTAATAGACAAAATCAACTGGGAAACCAAGGTAGGCATCACCTGACCTTGGGTCTAAGGAAGGGCATCATCTAACCTTAGGTCTATAGGATACTGATAGAAGACTTATTCCTAGCAGATAAAATCAACTAGGAAACAAAGATAGGCATAGCCTAACTTTGGGTCTAAGGAAGGGCATCACCCAACCTTAGATCTTTAGCATGCTGATAAAAGACTTACTCCTAATAGACAAAAGGAACTAGAAGTCAAGGTATGCATCACCTAACCTTGGGTATAAGGAGGACATCACCCAACCTTAGGTCTATAGGATGCTGATAAACGACTTACTCCTAATAGACAGATTAACTGGGTTGATCTTGTGGGGAGGAAAATTTCTCCAAATAGAGGATCAAAATTGGCAAAGTAGGATGGTGTCATAAAGGGCATTCTCAACCACTAGCGAATGATCATGTGGAAATGAAACTTTCTCCACATAGAGGATCAAAACTGGCAAACTAGGATAGTTCCAAGAAGGGCATACTCCACCACTAACGAATGTGAATTAGGATGGTGCCATGAAGGACGTACTCTGTCACTAATCCTCGAG